CTGGTTGATTCAACTTGATTGATTGGTTGATTGATTGACTTTTTTTCTTTCTTTTTTTTTCTTTCTTTCTTTTTTCTTCATGGCGGGCAACACGTGCTGGGAACTGGGCCCAGCGTCCCTTATGAGGTTCCAAAGAAAAGTCTGGAGTACCGACCGGGGCCATTACCCGGCTTTGGCTGAGAAAATTCATGCAGAATCATGCACAACTTCTAGCCTGCAGAATACCAATGTTTCGATCGAGCTTGTTTAAAAAAAAAAAAAAAAAAAAAAGTTTCGAAAACCAAGTCTAGCTGTCGTGTTCTCGAGACCAAGCCTCTACCGTACGAGGCCTCACACCCCCAAAAAAATGCTCCGTTACGAGGCAGCGCAACACGCCCCAGCTCCGACCAGCATTGTCTCAGAATTGTGAGGCCTGGTAGGGGCTGGAACGCGTTGCCCACCCCGGCTTAGTTATAGGGGTTGTGGAACCGACCCGAGCTGAGTTACAGGGGCGGGGCATCGCAACGCGCCCCTGTAACTCAGCTCGGGTCGGTTCCGCAACCCCTATAACTCAGCTCGGGTCGGTTCCGCACCCCTGTAACTCAGCTGGGGTGGGTTGTGCGCTGCCCTGTGACTCCGCATGGAGTAGAAAGCAGAAAACAGAAAACATGCAATCGTACAGTATGCAGAAATTGACACAGAGATGAGAAACGCAGTGATCACAGCAAAAGAAAGCTGTTTGTTTGTTTGTTTGTTTGTTTGGTTTTTTTTTTTTTTTTTTTTTTTTTTTGGGACAATAAGAAAGCTGTAAAATTGCCAGCGCACCCAATTCCACCATCATAGCACACACCCAAGAGTAGGTTGCGCTGCCCTGTAGCGCAGCTAGGGTGGGTTCTGCACCCTTGTAACTTAGCCTGGAGTGGGTTGTGCTGCCCTGTAACTCAGCAGACAAATAGGGCCATGCATTTTAAAAATAATAACAATTTGTATAGAGTCTTCTTTCAAAAGCAAAGTATTGTAGTATACCAGTCCATACTGAAAAACTCTTTCCAAAGTAAAGGTAAAATACACAAAATCATTCAGCTTATGAAAACTCAACATTGGTCAGCGCTGAATTTGGACGAAAGATACATCAAGATACATCGGTAGCCAAGTCGTTGAAATGATTGTGGACATAATGATCATCCTCAGGGTTTTTCTCCTTAATTTTCAGATAAGGGACGCTGAGCCCGGTTCTCAGCAAAGTCTTGTGTTCACTCCGGGTAGACTGTGAGGACCCCGGCCTCAAACCTTCTCATGGATAATATCAGCCTTGGGCACTGGGCCCTTTTTTCAAAAAAAATAAATAAATAAATAAAWAAAAAAATATATATATATATCGTCACAAACAGAAAATATATATATATATATATATATCGTCAAATAAAAAATATATATATATAAAAAGAAAAAAAAAAGAAATGATTGTGGACGCTATCTATGAATTCAACTGAATAATTTGAATTGCCCTCTTTTCTACTGGGCTTTATAATAAAGCATTGCGCAAAGTACGAAATTGGGAAAACACAAGATGGTTAGTGAAGGGCGAAGCTCAATGTATTCCAAAATTATAAGGGACGCTGGGCCCGTTTCCCAGCACGTGCTGCTCCCCACGAATAGATTGGAGCATGTTCCAAAAAAAAAAAAAAAAAAAAAAAAAGTGTATAAGCGGCGCCTTGTTCTTACGAAATCAAGATCAAATTGAAAAAAAAAAAAAAAAAAAATCAAGATCAAAAGTTTTTGGCACTTTTTGGACTTCCCCTGTAACTCCACTGGCCATAGCCCACGGCGTTCCGCTCTCGGCAATCCCCCAGATCTCTCTACCAGGCCTCATGCTCCTGCACTCCACAGGCACAGGTTACAGGGCAAAACCCCAGCCCCGGCCAGCGTCTCGTTCTGGCATCGGCCAACCTAGACCACAGAACCCCACAGCTCCAGTACAGCCTTGGAAGATCTTCACCCCCCACCGAAATCCTGGATTCCGTAGCAGAAATGTCCTTGGAAGCTAGAGAGAAAATATAAGAGGTCTCAACCAGCAGAAGATTCCTTTGGAAATGCCCACGGAACTCCCCACCCACCCATCACCCACTCGGTCTGGTGGGACGAAATAGACGGGGAAGAAAATCACCCTCTTCCATCGCAGAACCAGACTAACACCTTGCAAGTTGTTAAAAAAAAAAAAAAAAAAAAAACTTGCATTTTGCAACTACCTGCCTCTGCCAAAGGTCAGCGCTCTAAATCAACCCCGGCCATGAGTACCACAACCCTCAAATACTGCCCCCTTACCTCCCCCAAGATGCAGCACTTGTCTCCAAGATGCTACCTCCGGCGAGGGATAAGACTCCCTCCCGTGCCAGCAACTAATGCCCAACCGTCCAACCAAGAGACTACACCTCACCGCCCCTGGAGCCACACCCTTCCCCCACAGACGGAAAAATATGGCCCCCCTTACCCTCTACCCCCCCCCTGCCAAAAGTGATTGATTGGTTTATTTGTTCATTGATTGGTTTGTTGATTTATTGACTGGTTGATTGGTTAACTGATTGGTTGATTGACAAGTTGATCACTCCATTTATCAATCGACAGCTTGTTGAGTGGAATCAGTGGATTGTAATGAAAGCAAGCTCAAACAAAGCTCACGCCATCCACATCCTGCATGAAACTCAAAATGTACCTTTGTCGGTTCGAAAATACTCGGCCTCCGACCTTTCAGGAGGCCGAAATGAAACGACGGCCGCCGATTAGATTGATCAACGTCGGGCTCGGCCTCCTGAAAGTTCGGGAGCTGGCAAGAACTTGTTGAAACCGGACGCCAAAGGGACTAGTGGTTTGATGAAAGACACATTGACGACAGTCGCAAAGGGATAGCAAATAGATTGGGGCTTTATTTCATTATTAAAAAAGAAAAAAGAAAAAAGAAAAAAAGCAAAGGGATAGCAAATAGACCTGTGTGACATCACCCAAAAAAAAGGAGAAGAAGTCAAGGAGGAGGAGGATAAAGTCCAATAATAGTCAATTGATAATTTGATACAATGTCTTTTCTTGCCTTGAAGTTCCCCCACTTCTTGCCACCCCTGCAATCATCAACCGGTCCCTCTACCAATGATGGAGTCCCGGGCCCGTCAATTTCTTCCCAGCACCACACCATTGTCACCAATAAATAGCTATATCGTCAAAACGTTCATATGTGTTACGATCCTGGCCAATTTCAAAGTATACATCCATCAGAAAGTACAATGCCGTCCAATTGCACAAAGAAATGAATGAACTTGAGAGGAGAGAGAGGGGAAGAGGAAGAAGACGAAGAAAGAAAGAAGAAGAAGATGATGCACTCCAGCATAGACCAAAGATAATGCTCTTCTTCTTCGCCAACCAATCTCCTCCTCCTTATCTCCTCCCCTCTTATTCAAACAAGAAATAACAATAATAATGCTGAATGGCCGAACCAGAATCAATGTCCGAATCCCTCTTCGATTGCAGGCACAACATGAGGTCCACCATAGCCATGTCCACCCTTCTCTTTCCTCTTCATGTAGGCCGAGGCTATGGCGGGCTACTGAGGGCTCAACCCTCCTGTCCAAAGGACAACCCAAAACAGCTATGTCGCTGCCTCCCTGTGCAAAGGACAATGCAAAGCAGCTATGGCTGCTGCTTTTCAGGCCTCCATGCCTGACTCTTCCTCGAAGCTTCCTTGGTGCGGCACTACCCCAACTGGGGCCTTCCGGTATCAAGGTGATGAAGATGGTATCCACCATAGCCAGGTAGGTACTTCGCCACTCTCCTCCTTGGTCCTCTTCTCCCTCCTCCTACCACCGGTAGAGCTCCACCATAGCCAAGGTGGAAGCTCCCGGCTTCTTTGGAATCCTCCCAGCAGTGCTGTAGTAGCCAGCGCTCCTCCAGCCAGCGATCCAACAGCGTGTCGCCAAACTTGCACGTTGAAGAATGAGGTTGGGCTCTTCGCTCAGCCTCTAGATATAGCGGTCTACTTGCCTCCTGGGCGTTCACTTCTCCCTTTCGGAGGGAAACATCATTGCAGACTCTGATATTGCCCGCACAGGCCCTAGACTCAGACTGTATGGACTGGTACCGGCCTAGACTTAGCCTACCGCCACTGGGCCTCTAAAAATGCCAACTTTGTCTTCTTCTGCTCGGCCTCGAGTACCCGGCACATCTACTTCTACTGGGTGCGGTACCGGCCTACCTGCTACTTGAGTGTTTTTCCGCTGCTCTAAGTGCCGCGGGTCTCTGGCTCCGCTACTTGAGTGTTTTCCCTGCTGCAACCCTCAATATCACGGCCACAGGTAAGTACCGTCCCCACGGGCCTCCCAAACAAGCAAGTACCCTTGCGGGTCACACACACACTCATGCCGACCAGCGCTCAGCTAGGCACGCAGATCAACAAGCACGCACACATACAGACTTA